GAAGTGAGCATTCACAGGCCAATTTTCTTCCGATTCCATGAGGAAGGGTGGCCCTGTAAACCAAATGGAGCTACGCAACTCGTCTACATTACATCCTCTGGACACGATGTCTGCTGGGTTGGATTTCGTTGGGACATGTCGCCACGTTGCATTCTCGGACCACTCTTGGATTTGAGAAACCCTGTTTGAAACGAAAACTGACCATGCCGACGGATGCGACTTGATCCAGTGGAGCGTTATTTCCGAGTCAGTCCACATAACTATCTTGTCTATTGGAGAATTAAGCAACGGGCGGACTTGACGAAAAAGATCCGCGAGAAGGTGAGCTGCACACAGCTCAAGACGAGGCAAAGTTTTCGTCTTGAGTGGAGCTACTTTGGATTTTGAGGTCAAAAGTGACACTTTCCAACCATTCGCAGTCGAAACACGAACATAAATACAGGCGCCATAAGCTCGCATTGAGGCATCGGCGAACGCATGTATTTGAATGGGTGACTGCGTATATGTATGGACGAATCTAGGGACTTGAATACCGCTGAGGTTCAACAAATTCTGCTTAAATGAGTCCCAAACTGTATGAAGATTCTCAGGGATGGATTCGTCCCAATCTAGTTTTTGTAGCCACAAATCTTGCAGCAACATTTTTGCTTTGGTGATCAGCGGGCAAAGAAGGCCCAGAGGATCGAAAAGCCTGGCAGTCACCGATAATATGTTCCGTTTTGTCGAGCGGAGATCTAGGAAGGAATTTTCCAACTGGAACTGAAATACATCTTCCTTCGGCAACCACATAACGCCGAGCGTTTTGGTTGGGTCTGAGTCGACTGTGGCTACTGGAATAACTGTGCTATCAAATGCGGACAGTTCCGAGCAGTTCGAAAACCACTTTGCCAATTCGAAGCCTGCACTTTGAAGAACGTGCGACACTTCTGCTCGAAGCTTTTTTAGCTGTTCAACGCTTTCAGCACCAGTTAACATATCGTCGACATAAAAGTCGCTCCGAATAACTTCAGCAGCTGTTGGATGTGAGGAACGGACCATTTCACTCAGCCTTGTTAAACACCGCACCGCCAAGAACGGAGCTGGCGACGTGCCATATGTTACAGTGTTTAACCTGAAGATTTTCAAAGACTCAGACGGATCTCTTCGCCACACTATGAGCTGATAGTTTCTATCTGCTTCGTGCACCATCACCTGACGGTACATTTTTTTAATGTCTGCCGCTAAGGCGAACTTTCGCAAACGAAAACGAAGCAGCGTAGAATAAAGCTCCTCCTGAATTGTTGGACCGACCATTAAGGTATCATTCAACGCAATCTGAGTGGACGTGCGGCAAGAGGCATCGAAAACGACACGTAACTTGGTCGACGTGCTTTGAGGCCGCAGGACACACTGATGCGGAATAAAATAGTGTGGAGTATCTGGAATTTTGTTGTCCGTTGAGGACATGTGACCGAGCGAAACATACTCGTCCATAAATTCCAGATACATGCTTTTCATTTGAGGGTCTTTTGACAACCTCCTTTCAAGCGACAAAAAACGACGTTTCGCAATTTCATACGACGAGCCAAGATTTTTTGGGTCAGATTTAAAAGGTAACCGTACCTGAAATCGACCAGACGACAAGATTTTTGTATTATCAACAAAGTGTTGTTCACAAAGCTGTTGCTCAGGTGAGAGAACTTTCGAATTATTAGGCAAGTCCTCAATGGACCAAAACTTTTGTATCGTTGAGTCTATCGAAAGTAATTGTTCTTCTTGGCAACTTAAATTCACTGCTCCTTCTATACTCGTTGTAGGTTGAGTAGAGCATCTGCCTGACACTATCCAGCCGAGAAGCGTTTTTTGTAATGTGGGAGACTCAGGGCCTTGCTTTATTTGGCCCACCGACAATAAGTCGAAGAATGACTCTGCTCCAATTAGCATATCAATTTTTTGCGGCTTATGGAATTGAGGATCGGCCAATTGAATATTTTTGGGGACCCTCCACCCGCTGGTGTTCACCGCTTGATCGGGATGATAACCAGAAATCGATCCCAAGATCCAAAAATCTGCGGAAAACTCGCTACAATTGACACGCGACTTCACCACTGTATGAATTCTTTTCTTGGCACGCGCATTGGTGTCTCCAATGCCGCGCAAGACCATACACGTATCCTCTCGTCTGAGCTGTAGCTTTTGAGCTAGATCCTCAGTCACAAAGTTGACTTGTGACCCAGAATCTAACAATGCTCTTGCTAAAACGAAATCGCCACTTTTCGTTTTAACGCTCACGACTGCTGTTGCAAGAACCACTCTATCCGAAGCAGTCGCATGCATGGCATGCGAAGTGGAAGAGCTATCTTGAAGATGTGGTGGCTGAGAGGGTGGTGGTAACGCAAGATTTGTGCTAGCAGTATAAATATGTAGCAGTGTGTGATGAGAACGTTGGCACACGCTACATTTCTTTGCCTTACACTTCGCTACTGTGTGGCCTCGTCGAAGACAGTTTATGCACAAAGGCGCACCTTTAGCGAAGTCAAACCTTTGCTGCACTGACAAGGCAATATATGCCTGGCAATTGCCAATCGAATGGTCAGCTGAATTGCAAAATTGACAAAGGTTATTCTGTTCGTTTTTGGCAGCAACGAACGAATGATTTATCCTGCTAGCATTTTTTACTTTTTGAGTCTGAGTGTTATTGTTCGACTGGCTGCCCTTCGCTTGAGCTTTACTAGCTTCTTCAGCAACAATATGCTGGTAGCGTCTGTTAAGAGCAGTCTCACAATCTCGCCATAGTGGGAGCGTTGTGTAGTCGAGCTGCTCTTCCCACTTCTTTTTTGTGGTAGGATCGACTTTGCCCATAACTAAATAAATTAAAATGGCATTAGCGATTTTCTTGTCGTCACCAATTGACAGAAGTGAGTCATAGGTGGCCGACACTGTGTCGATCAGGCTTCTCAAAGCTGACGCAGATGGCTGGGAAATCTTTTGCAGATTGAAAAGTGTCGATATGTTATCGAAAAATATTAGGCAGTCATTATCGTACACCCGCTTTAGACTTTCAAGGGCTTTGCTATAATTGTCTTCCGTCACTTGGAAGGCGCGAACTGTGCCTAAAGCGTCACCAGCCAAACATGATATTAAGTGATTGAATTTTTCAATATCATGCAGTGTGTCATCATTGTGAACAAAAGTTTCAAAAAGACTCATGAAATTTTTAAATTCAGAATGCTTGCCGCTAAAAGTTGGAAGAGCGACCGCTGGCAATCGACACCTTGGCTTTTTGGAAGTAGGCGGTGCAATACCGTTTGCCGAACTTGAATTGTCGATGCTTTTTCTTCTTAGTTTTTCCAGCTGGCCTTTTAATAAGGATTTGGTCATAATGCAAGTTTCTTCCAACTCTTCACGGTAGTCATCTTCTGTATCTTTTGCTTCAATTTTGCTTTGCAATATATTTGCAGTTTCTATATGAGTTGTTAGAAGCTCTAACCTGCATTCTAACTCGATTGGCTCTAACGAAATCGAGCCTTCTTTTAATTGCCGTTGCATACGACATATACTCCTCATACAGCCCTCGCGCTTCCTTTTAAGTTCTTCGATCAAGTCCTTACTCATATTGATTTAAGGTTTTAAACTTTGATCGAAGGAAAATTGTCGAGTGACAAACGAGAAATCGAAAATAATATGCTGTTCTCAGCAAGTGTAGGGGAGCGCAACAGATGGTCGTCTAGCAGTGCGAACGAAAACGAGAAGAACTGCAGTTGACTGACCGTCGAAGGCAACACTTTTGGAAGCAGCAGCGAAAGTGGCGACAAACGAAAAGAATAATTCTAATACAAATGCCTTGTGTGCGTTAGCAGAACAGCTAATTCTTATGCATGTATTATGCGAAGCGCAGGCAAACAAAAAATGCAGCAGCTTAAGCGCGAACACGACAGCAATGTATTAGCTATGTTATGTATGCGAGTATGTCGGTATATATTTACATATGTAATAACAACGGCGAATTTGATGAGAACAACGAGAGCAAGCAACAAACGAAAACTGCCGACGGTTGGCTGAGATTGACGTGGGGGGGATGCCGTATGTAAAAGTGGCTATGTATATTTATGTATGTATGTATGTATAATAAAATCAAACGACAATAAATTGGCACTTTAAATAATTGCCTATAGCGGTTCACTTTTATTTAATATTAGTACGACATGCGATTTATATTTGTGTTAATTATGCTCAACTATCTACCGTATTATATTATGGTCACGTATGTGCCAAAGGTTGAAAGTTGAAGGCCGAAATAAGCAATTCGCTGGTTAAATTCCACTTTCAAACTTTAGCACAGTACCTGTGAAGTCGACTTTGGCTCAGGAACTTCCCTTTGGTCGACTTGACTCATCCTCCAATAATCCAGTTGACGTGACAGCAACACACACAATCCCCAGTGCAGCAACAACAACACGACCGACGCGGTTCCGCACAAATTAAAGTTTTTAATTTAAAAAAACAAGCAAGTCCCTGCTCGGGCGCCAATGAAAATTTATATTATTTTATATAAATTATTTAAACAAAGAAATATGGGACGCTTGCTTTTAATTTTATCTTTAATATCGAAAATGACGAAACGATACGGCGGCGATTGTGCTTATATTTAGTTCTATTTTACAACTGACTTCAACTTAGGCTTACATGCTAAACTAAGCCTAAGGCGGCGAAAAAAGGGCGCGAGGCGACGTCCGCAAACGGCCGCTCTCGCGCTCTCTTTTCGCCCTAAATTAAAATTCAAATAATTCTCTTAAACTATCTTAATCTAAAGCAGCATCTGCGCCAACACTGAGCACAAACATAAAGCAGCATAAAGCAATGCATAAAGCAGTGAAACGTTATAAAAAGGCGATGGTTTGCCAAAATTATTCAGTGAGGTATTCGTACCAATAAAGCGATACAGTTTGATTGTGAGGTAGCTCGAAATGACGACCTTTCGGTTAATTTTTGCCATTTTGGGGCTATGTTTTCTTATCAACATGGTAAAATGTCAGACGGATCCGACGGCTTCCGCAACTCCGACGGCTACCGCAACTCCGACGGCTACCGCAACTACGACGGCTGCCGCAACTACGACGGCTGCCGCAACTACAGCAGCAGCAACCCCAGCCCCAACCGCCGCTGCGACAACTACTGCAGCTTCATCAACCTCTAGTACCGTACGCAGGCGTAGGAAAATCCGCATAAGGTTTAACCGTAATGGAAGCGGCGGAAGCACCGGAGGCACCGGGGGCAGGAGAATAATTCGACGAAGGGTTGTCCGAAGAAGAACTGGATTGGGAAGAGTTGCAAGAGGTAGAAGAATCGGGGTAGTTGGAGGTGGACTTGCACGAGTTGGTACAATTGGTGGTCTTGGAGGCTTTAGCAGTCTTGGCGGACTTGGAGGACTTGGAAGAGAAGCCATTGTGATAGGCTGAATTAAAGCAATCAATACAATGTTAAGCTTCTTACACAATAAAAGCGTTTTTACTGATCACATCGATGAGTTTCTATTTGTACGCGTACTACCCAAAAGTAGTTCCACCATTCCACCCTAGTGATAAATGGAAGTGTATTCTCTTAAGCTCAACTTTGAGCGCATTAGTTCTGCCAGATAATAATCGCATTTCACTTTGTCGTAGATGGAGCATTGAAGCTCCTAGCTATCCCAGAGCCCAATACGTGCGTACATCTTTGCTGGCAATTTATGGGCGCAGCGAATAATTAATAAATAAAATCAAGTTATATAAAACCCAGCGAAATGTTTGGCAAGTCGTAAAAAATGAACGAGCTCCAGGAAGTTCAAGTTGACTCGAAAGCTCTTTTTTATGTTCGCTTTTATCGCCGTTGCGCATAAATTAACAAAATGTTCAAATTGATAACGATAAATTTTTACAGTTGCCTGGCGGGCGACCATTAGGAAGCCATTAAAAGCGGGCCCTCGGTTAGCCCAGCTGCTAGGCAGTCAGCGAATCGGCCAATCAGCCAGTTGGCCATTCAACTGGTCAAATTGAGCCAAGAGCTGGGGCTAAGGCAGAGTTGGAGTTAATCGGAGCTGAATCGTTCGCCCAAGTCAATTGTCTAGCAATTTAACTCTGAAGTGTGTGAGGGCAAGAAATAAGGTAAGCAGATAAGAAGACAAGCTTGGGTTGGGCTGGGCTAGCATCACATGTGCCTGCAATTGGCAGGCATTTTGAGTGATTTCTGCGAATTAATTTTAAACTTTTTCGCCCGAGTTTTCGACTTTTCGACTTTTCGCTTGTGTGTGTAAAAATTGGCCATCAACTTGTCGGGTCTTGTGAATCGTAAAACAAAAGTCAACAGCGCTGCCTCAACATGCGTGACAGTATCAAAGGCGGCTGTTAAAAGTTTACCGAAGTTAACAAAATGATGCTTCAAGTGCTCGCTAATTTATGACTGCGACAAACTCTCTTTGTTTGACTTTCCGAGGCATACTTAGCATATACTTGTATGTATGTATATGCAGTTGGTGGGGGCTCATTAAATCCATTAGTTATTTTAACACTTTATGGCTTTCTCTTAAATGTTAACATATGCATACATTTTTTGTAGAGTGAGTTCATAAATTTCCATCGCAAAATAACTAAAGCAATTAAAATTTGCATAAAATTCAAATATATTTGCCTAGCCGTCTAAAAACTAAACATCAAGAGCGCCACTCAAAATCTCTCTCATTCCGCCAGACACACACACACACACACACACACACACACACACACACACACACACACACACACACATACTCACACACAAACACACACACACAGGCTCATAGTTTTAGCGAAACATGACAGTCGAGTGCTGTGGCAGGGACGGCAGCGTTGGCAGAGTTTGTATTTGTAACTGGCTCGAAATGGCACGAAATGAAAAATTACACATACGCCATGTCGGCAGCACTTGTGAGCGAAAAAAAGTTTCAAGTGCGCTCGTTCAAAAAATGACAAAGTTTTGACGCACTTGGCAAATAATTACAGCAAATTCCAAGACAACAAAGGGAGAGAGAGAGAGAGCAGACAAAACATAAACAACGCCTGCACATGCGAGTATGAATGTACTTTATGTGCCTGGCCATTGATATCGACACACGACAAACATATGCGAATTGAATAAAGACTTCTGCCGTTTCTTCCTCTATCTATCACTTTCTCGCTCTTGCTCTCTGCCTCTCTTTGTCTCCCTCTTTATTTGCGTTTTCTCCATATTTCTGCCTTTTGCGCAGTCAAGGCCCAAAACCATTTGACACATTTTTGCATGTGTTTGTTTGTTTAGGCCCGCCCAGAGACTGGGAGACAGCGAGACGCATGGAAATGAAAAGCTGCCACATTTGCACTTTCAGCCTTTTCTACATCATTTGGGACTTAATCTGCTGTGATTTATTCATAGACTCTCCTTTTTTTCTGCATCATTAGTTTGCGTTTATTTGCATAGCTGGCAATATCGCTTGCTTGTGTTTATTGTGGCAAGGAAGCAAAGGTGGGGTTGCCCCCCCCCCCCCAGACCCTGCCTGTTGCCTTCACGGGTGGCATGTGTAACTGCTGCGCGGCTTTCTCCTCGTTGACTTGATTAAGCATGGCAGGCGCTGCAATTAATATTCATAATTATAGAGCTTGAGTACGCGTTCACAATTTCTCTTGCATTTAATGCCATCATCATTCCCACACACCACACACCACAATCCACACACCACACACAAACAAGTGGAGGACCATCTATTGCAGGCGGTGCAGGGAGCAGCGCTTAAATGACATGCATTTTGTATTCATAATGGCCATTTTTTATGCACACTTGCTCTTATGCAGCTATGCAACATAATGCACAATGCACAATAAATTTATTCAACACATCGTGCTAGACAAGAGAAGTATTTTGCAAAAAGGGATGATTCACGTGTTGCCCAGCTAGGCGAGCAAGTAAGGTCGGTGGTCGTGTCTTGTCTTGCCTGATGATTTATATTTGCACACACAGTGACTATTTTTGCCGATGTTGCAATTGTTGATAGCCCCACTTTATACGTACTTGTATAGTATGTATAAATAACTGTTAGGCTGCACAGTTGACTCACCAAACATTGCAGCACGTTTGCATCGAATTGTTATTTATGCAGCTTTAACGCATTTGTGCCGGCCCTACTAAGCCCACTGGTGCATGAATACAAATGGACGCGTGGCAGCTAAATACATGTACATGAATAAATGAATGGGTGACAGTATTAAGTTCGCACGCAACGCTGTATATTGATAATTCTACTAATTAGCATGCAAGTTAATTATTTTGAACTGGCGAGACGAGTGCTAGCGCTTTGTCGCTATTGTTATTGTTATCACAGCTGTGCGTGCGTATTTGTTTTTATTTTAGTGGCTGCTGCATAAATATTCCAAATGCTGATAAATTCAAATAGAGTCAACGAGTCTAACTATATTTACTTTAACTAAGTGGCGGGCACACCTGCACTCCGCCTGAATTTGTCAGGCGTCTGCTGTGAATAGACTATTTATATTTTGGAAATATTCCGAAATAAAATAATAAAAAAGCAGTAAATAAATTAAATTATATTCAGTTCTTTGCCCAGCTTAAAATAACACAATTACTTGAAAAAAAAGATCTCTTCAGTCAATTTGCTTATCAGCTCATATAGAAATGGTGAAAAAAAAGTCCACTTAAGTCATGAAATACTAGAAAACAAATTGTGTCCGAATGAATCAATTGAATTTAGAGAACAATTTTGTGCCCTTTTGAACTGGTGAAGTCGATTCGAGTCTTCGACATTTTATCAAGATTTGACAATACAAAATCCACACTGCTTTCGATTTCGAATTATCTGAACAAACATAATGCCATGTTACAGACCTGAGAAGTCTTGGCCGAACCGAAAGCAAGTTACAAATGGCTTTATTATTTTACAAAGTTGTCACGATACCTATCCGTGCGAAAATCAATCTTAGTATGAGAGCCTCAATTGTAAGATATTTCTGGGTATAATCAGTAATTTTATGAATATCTGTGCATTATATAAAATAGTTGTGAAAGAATTGATTCTTACGAGTACAACAAAGTTTGCTTCACTTGAATGACTGTGGCGGGAAAATCAAGGGTGTTCAAGAGTCGGGCTGGTCGAGATTATCTTTCTTCACGTTTTATTTATGGCAAAGCCAGCTGCTATATATATATTTTGTTTGCATTTGGAATTTGCTGAATAAAGAAAAAAACAAAAATAAAGTTAAGGAATATTTCAGCCGGCATTTATATTGCGATGAAAAATTTCTACGGTACCATTGCAACATGCCATTAAAATTGTTATTTAAAAATTCCTGAGCTAAATAATGTTCTAAAATATACGTACATTTGTGGTTTGATGTGTGCCAAAGCACATATTTGGCAATCGGCAACACGATGCGACCCTTTTCAAAAAACACAGCCAAATACTAGGCTCGTACGAATATAGTATGGCTGTTAAAATGATAATAAATGACAGGAATGTATGTGAATTCGAAGCAATAGCAATAGTTGTAGGGAAGAGAAATGGCATCCCAATGGATATACCAAAATAAATATTGATGGATGTTTGGTTTGACAGTCAGTATGAAAAAGCCCTTTTAATTTGTGCTTATGAAATAGGACAGCTGGTTCGATAAATGCCTGAACATGTTAGTAAGTTGAATTAAATGATGAGTTTCCTCTTTGCAAGGGAGGTGGGGCGGTATATGATTTGAAAAAATTGTTAATGAAATACAAGCTGCAATCCTTATTTACCGATTTGTTCTTATATTTCGTTTGTAAATACCAGAGATTGCTGACTATATTTAAGTTGCAAACCGTCTCTGGGGGAACCAGTAAGGAAACGAACATACACTTAAATTTTCAAATGAATTCTCGTTGATTTCTGAAATTACTTCAGTATTTATACAAATTTTGACTTATGTACTAGTTTTTTTTTTGCCCTATGTACTAACAATTTACTATTTTAGTATTGTACATATTGAATTTCTTGCGTTGGTCTGCTGCTGTACTGCATGGGCTATTTCTAGGATGGGATTAGCTAGGTTACCTACTGCATTGCATTCGTATGCTAATTTGTGAGCTCTTGTTCATTTTTCTGAACACTTTTTGGCGACTAAACTTCAAATTTTAATTACTATGATCATTCTGTAACACATTAAGCTCAACAGAAC